ACACCCTCCCTCCCACACCTCACCTCTTACACCCTCACCCCTACACCCTGACCTCTTACACCCTGACATTCTACACCCTGACCTCTTACACCCTGACCTTCTACACCCTGACCCTCTTACACCCTCACCCCTACACCGTCACCAACCAACACTCCTCCATCATCCCTCAGGTGTACTCATCTCCCAGGTGCCCCATAACTCACCTACCCTCACTGCTTCACCTTCCCAAAAAAAATGTTCGACAACCAGGCGGATAATATTCATTTTTTCCATTTTTATTTTTACGTGAGTCAATCAAATCTTTGTACATCTATCATGACTTTTGACTGAGGGTAACTTTTTTTTTTAACCAATTCCTCTCCGCTACGACCAGTCTACGATAACACAGTAACAAGTTTGGTATTTGGTCATTCAGTCTTGTTTATCTGTAGTAAAGATTGTTGTTGTTGTTATTTATATTCTTCTGTTTCCTACGCAGGTATATGATATTTGCTCTTCCCAAAATATTTTATGGTGAATTTTGGGTTTTCCTCTCTCTCTCTCTCTCTCTCACACACACACACACACACACACACACACATCTAAGCTGCCATGAATAATCCCTGAATAATAATGAGACAATGAAAACCATTAATTTCCCAACTCACAAACTTTCACCCAAGAGACCATACGATATAAGGCTATTACATCTCATTAATTAACACGTGACAACTTTCCTAACAACTTCTTAATTAATTGCTCACCTGTTTGTGTTTGTGTGTTTTTTTTTCGTTACTTTAAGACGTTTGTAAAAATTTTGGTCTGGTGTCTTGGCTGTGGGGGAATGCTGAGAGAAGGTAGACTTAATATTTCTTACCTGTTATAGATCTAAAGGCTTACGTACCTAGATTATTCTCATTAATATCGAAGTTTGGTTAGGTTAGGTTATGTTAGGTTAGGTTAATGTTGAATTTGATTTTGGTTATGATAGGTTAGGTTACCTTAAGTTAGGTTAGCTTAAATTAGGTTAAGTTGATGTTTGGTTAGGTTAAGTTAAATTAAGTTAGGTTAGATTATTTTGATGTTACTGTAAATTAAATTAGGTTAAGTTAGATTAGGTTAAGGTCTACTTCTGGGTCCGGTAATTAAAGCCGTCACCTTCTGAGCTTTGGTACATAATGTTCCGCTCTTGAACGAGTTGAAATGAGGTTTTGATCTTTAAAGAACTACTCGCTAATTGCTAAGGTAAATAGCCTCATTATTACTCTCGTCAGGTCAACCTCGTTAATTTGAAACTCTTGAAATCGAGTTTAGTTAGGTTGAAAGACTTGTTAAGAAGCAATTAAATGTGAATACGTGATTTAGTATTGATGGAAGGTAATTAATCTAATTCGTGGCGTTTGGTGAGTCTTCCTTACGTATGTTTCTGAAGCATATCTAATGGTGTTTCTTCTCAGTATAAGTGACCTTTATGAAAACCAGTCCGCACTCACTCACTCACTCTAGTTACTCTTGTTCCTTTATTCATTATTTGTTTTCCATTCATATTCTGTTCCGTGATAAAGGTTCGTTAATAATGTTATAGTGTAGTTCATGGTAGTCGGTGTGATGGTTGTCTCATCATGTGTTTATTGTGCAGGAGACACAACACATCACGTGTGGTGCGGCACCTAAAAGGAATGTATGATGACAGTGAGTGAAGGAGAGACTGCGTTTATCTTGATTCCGGCCACCTACCCTGCCTCATGCAAGACAACCATTGTGTGTGAGAGAGAGAGAGAGAGAGAGAGAGAGAGAGAGAGAGAGAGAGAGAGAGAGAGAGAGAGGATACGGCGGCCGAATGAATACAGTGCTCGCTTCTTGTATATTCACACACACACACACATATATATATATATATATATATATATATATATATATATATATATATATATATATATATATATATATATATATATATATATATATATATATATATATATATATGTATATATATATATACATATACATATAAATAAAGGTTTATATCAGTTTTACGAGCATTAGACAAGTGGTAACACTAGCCAGAATTGTTTGCTTGTAAAACTTGAAATATTCACTAAATGTAAATTTTTGTATGCGAGATTCGAGGGAAATTATTATTTTTAATATAACAGATGCTGGTAGCGGCACTGTGGCCAAATATTCCTGTGGGCGCCGACGTGTCCGAAACGTCCCAGAATAAAGGGTTAGATTTTTGTGTATTTGGTTGGAAAAATTGTAGATGTAACCCATCACAGATATGCAAAATTTTGTCAATAAAAACCTGGCAGCGGGAAATTGGAAAAAACAGAATATTTGGTGAATCCCTGAGCGACCAGAGCACCATGGTGTGGCTACGAGGGTGTAGCTACAAGGGAGTGGCTCCTAGGGTGTGGCTGTGAGGATGTGCCTGTGAGGGTGTAGCTCCGAGGGTGTGGCTTCGAGGGTGTGGCCTTGAGGGTGTGGCTATAAGGGTGAAGCACTGAGTGTGTGGCCGTGTGGGTGTGGCTTACTCTCCTCAGAATCCTAGCTAGAATTACATTGATTGCAGGCAAGAAAATATGTGTTTGCTGCACTTGATTACAAATGATCTATTTTGTCCCTTGGGAGAAATGAATTCCTTTATAATGACCGAATTAGTATTTAGAGATCTAGAGTCATACTGACTGGCGTCTTATTACACTCAAACTCTTTTCTAAAAGGCAATCAATATCATAATGGTTTAGCTCGTAACTCTGGAGGCACAGTTTATAATTAATTCACCTGTACACAGAAAGCGAGTGCGTTGGTTATAACAAATGACTACCACCACTACCCAGATTTCGTAAACTTTTCTCTCATATTAGCGAGGAACAAAACTTTAACCGAAACTATCCGGGAAAGTTTATAAACACACTCATTTAACTTCTTTCATGGCCTTTAAATTTGGGAAAACTCTCTCTCTGATGACGTCAAGCTGTATGTAATAACCTGATAAATTTTGTTCTTACCCCCTGGCAACGCGGACGCCACCAGGGTGATGCTCCCCACAACTGACACTGACACACACACACACACACACACACACACACACACACACACACACACACACACCTAATTCGGTTTCTCAAGGGATCCGACGTCAAATTTCCTCTATCCTACCAACACCTCCCCTCCCACCGGGTGAATAAGCAAGAACATCTCTCTCTCTCTCTCTCTCTCTCTCTCTCTCTCTCCAGCCCCAAGCATACATCAAAGCCAACAACACTTACCCAACAGACTAACAGATGACGATTTTATTTCCAGAATTAAATATTATTAAAAAATTAGACATACTAAGATGAAAAGAGAATATACTCGTAGTCATTAATTAACTTTTGACATACACCTTTGATAACTGTGGATAGGGTGTAGAGAAATGACCTGCCACGTGATACCTTATATATGAATTTAATACCATGAGCCAATGTAAATATTATGACCAATTGCAAATACTAGTCGTCGATTCCTTTGTTAGTGTTATGACTAATTTAGAGCAAATGCCTACAGTTTTTTCCTTGAGTTATGTATTTAATAATGATATTCTGAAGAGAAAAAAAGCACTAATATGTTTCAAAAATTTTTGAGGCGTGAAATTACTTTATGATTATTAGGCTTAAGATCTATGACCGTAATTTGAGTCATTTTCTTGTTGAGTTGACCTGTAGGTTATGACGCGGAGTTTGTCTTTTTTAAGTTATGACGCAGTTAGTCTTTAAGTTATGACGCAGTTAGTCTTTAAGTTATGACGCAGAGTTGGTCTTTAAGTTATGACACAGAGTTGGTCTTTAAGTTATGACACAGAGTTGGTCTTTAAGTTATGACACAGAGTTGGTCTTTAAGTTATGACACAGAGTTGGTCTTTAAGTTATGACACAGAGTTGGTCTTTAAGTTATGACGCAGTTAGTTTTTAAGTTATTACTCAGAGTTTTCTTCCCTTATTATCTACTGATATAATTTTATCTTACCTGACATATACTGTATATACCTTTGACTTTTATGGGTATATGTCTCTCTTTCCTTCTTATATACTATTACTATATCCCGGTATAATATATTTCTATCTTTTATTGCACATGTAACTATATCTTCTCTAATGGCTTCTCTTATATTTGAATTTTATGGTATATTTGAAGTATTCTCAGCCAGGCTAATTTCAACTCATGTTTACCCTTTTCATCACATATATCGACTCTTGCATATATAATTTTCCCTTGCCTGACATACACATATACAGTATATAATCTTATCGTCCTTATCATCTCGTCTTGCTTGGCACCGAGACGCAGGCACAGGATGTCCTCAGTGCCACCATCATCCCTCGAGGCCTGAACTAATGAGATGCTTCTGACGGACTTCCAGGCAATGTTGTTGTATCCGGCTTGGAGGAGACTAGTAGGGATCTCTATGAAATGTCATATATCCGGCAAGGTTCACGTACACTGCGTACAGTATATATGTTTATCTAAGTAAATATATGTATCCAGCAGGTGGGAGGATGTACTGTACAGTATATATCCTGCAGGAGGGAGGATGTATATATCCGGCAGGAGAGGATTTTACAGTTATCTCCAAGGAAAATGGTGTACCTGCCAGGTAGAAAGACTGACAGGATAAAAAACTTGAGAAGTGTCGATGTTTGTTTATTTACGTATAGTGTATCTGACATCACAACAGCTCGAGGTATATAACGTTGAACACACCAAGTAAAAATTAATATAAAAAATGAATAAATTAAGTAAACGATGAACTCCACGAACTACTGTGAGAGTATCTAGAGAAAGTATTACTGTATGCAACCGTAGGGGGTGACTCTAGCAGTTAGTGGTTATGGCATTGTATAATATCTATGTTACTGATGTTTTTCTTTAACAGACACACCAGAACAGGGTGATTTATGATTGTTGTTATATCATTAGTTTACCAGGTAGGACGCAGGGCACAAAACATCATGGTAATGTTATATTCTTGTGTCCGGCAGCATTGACGCCCGCAGCGGGTCTTTGGAGAGCTCGGTACACTGGTCGGCCTTGGGGGACAGAGCCCACTTCGACGTCTCCTCCGACGATACCCAGAGTCTCGTCATTAGTCACGTCGAGGCTGAGGACGATGGTGATTACCGCTGCAGAGTCGACTTCAGGGCCTCCCCTACCAGGAACCTCAGGGTGAATCTACTGGTTGTAGGTAAGTAGAGTCAAGATGATAATCACACCTGCTGTAGAGTCGAGCTGACGTGTCCTCCCACTCCTGAATCCTCGGTACTGAAGCTGATGAGTGAGGGTGATGGCGGGGCAACTTTAGGGTCTCCTCCAGTAGTATTAGTCCATGGGAGTGTTGTTAGTGCTGGTGCTACACTGACTTAGAAGAGAGGTCCTCGCCTTTAGCATTCCCAGAACTACTTATGAAGTGTTCTCGATAATTTCAAATCTATTTACATTACATACATACAGTACATACATAAATACATACATATATACATACATATATAATAATAATAATAATAATGAAAGCCCCTCGAAATCGAGGATGGCCGGCCCAAGGGCCACCTAGGCGTGAATTTGTTTAAGGTGTAGAAGCTGTCGCCAACACAACAACCACACCATAAGTTAACGAGCTGCATGAACCAGTGTCAAGGAATATTCCGAGAAGACTGGACAACTCACCAACTGACTTGCTAACCATTACCCCGGAATACGATCCGCATATCGATTAACATCCAGGTTCCCAATTACTGCTGGGTAGACAGAGGCAAATGGAGTAAAGAAACTTGCCCATAGTTTCACATACACACATACATACATACAGTACATACATACAAAGACAAAATAAGAAGTTCGTGAGGGTAAAACAACTCATAATTACTATAAAGCTTGGGGTAAATTAACATACTCCTACAGGTTCTCTACGACAGTGATGGATGCTCAACGCTTCAGTCAGAGCTGGTGCCTCATCCTACCTAGGTATTATTTCACCCACTTGACATCCTATAAACCCAATGATATTAAAGACAAACCCACAGTAATGAGAATGTGAGTGTGTGTGAGTGTGTGTGTGTGTGTGTGTGTGAGTGTATGAGGTGTGTGAGTCAATTTGGAGTGTGTTATGACGTCTTTGTTTTGTGATACCTCCTACCTTACTCGTGTGTTGCCCTCTCCTCTGCCCACACACTCCAGATATGTGAGGAATTCCAGTGCCTGCTTCTGATTACATTCCTAAATACAGAGGAATTTTGACTAAAAAAAATAGAAAAAGAAATAAAAAAAATATATAATGTAAGTGAGTGAAGTCAAAGAGGAATATTTGTCTGTTTATTGGTTCGTTTTTGTTAATGAAATGGAAAAATATGCTGTGCCGGTTTATCCTTTATGAGACAATGGTAGAAGTAGTGTGTGAGTTTTTTTAATACAACCTTTGTCATCGTTGGTTCTCTATTCTCTGTTTTCTATCCTATGAAAAAAAAATTATGAAAGCAGAATCAAGCAACTGGAAAAAAAAATAAATCCTCTTTTTTTTTTTTTAAGGAATTTGTTGAAGAATTATATAACTGATTTATCTCATATTTGATGGCGGGTGAATTATATTTAAGTATTTGTTAATAAGCTTGATGTAATATATTTATAATTATTTGTTTATGGTCTGGATGATATATATTTTTCCACTATAAAGTATATTTCCCTTAATAATCCAAATGCTTCTCCCTGGGTACAACATCAGGTCATCAGGTCAGTTACACACCACCAAATCCTCAGATCAGTTACACAATACCAGGTCCTCAGGTTAGTTAAACAATACCAGGTCATCAGGTCAGGTCTCATAACAGGTCATCAGGTCAGTTACACACCACCAGGTTCCTCAGATCAGTTACACAACACCAGGTCCTCAGGTCAATTAAACAACACCAGGTCCTCAGGTTCAGGTCAGTTACACAATGCCAGGTCCTCAGGTCAGTTAAACAATACCAGGTCATCAGGTCAGGTCTCATAACAGGTCATCAGGTCAGTTACACACCACCAGGTTCCTCAGATCAGTTACACAACACCAGGTCCTCAGGTCAATTAAACAACACCAGATCAGCAGGTCAGTTTCATAACAGGTCATCAGGTCAGTTATACAACACCAGGTTCCTCAGGTCACACCAGGTCCTAGGGTCAGGTGCACACATGATTATATGGGAGAGGCGATGTGACATTTCTTTTAGCGGCATTTTCTTTAGCTAAGAAAAACAATAAGGATTACCTCCCCAAGACCTTTTTTCCCTCTGTTCCGACGCGGGTATGGAAGGTAGGCTTTCCTCATCTTTTTTTATTGCTTGGTTGATCTCTATGGGTAATCTTACCTAAGTAAATGTCATTTAACATCAAAGGTGGTACTCTCTCTCTCTCTCTCTCCTACCAATAGAAAGTCTACGGTCTTTGCGCACCCTCATTCAACTACTTTATTTCTCTCTCTAAAACAAACGCCTCTACACAAAATGGCTCTCTTTTTGTTCACACACACACACACACACACACACACCCACACACACACACACACACACACACACAGTTAGCTGCCTTGTGTTGGGGTGACCCTTGTCGACCACCTGTGACCTTGACCTTAGTTTGATGTTGACCAAAATTATGCAACGTTGAGCCAATGACAAGACGGACCAGCTGTGAAACTTGGGGAGAGATTGGCTCAAAATTGTTGGCACCACCTGACTAACAAACAACCATGACATGTACACATATTTATACTGTATACAATATTTATACACAAGAAATATACGCTCATACTGTACACCATATACACCCAAGACAAGGATATTCCCACGTACATACACATATACACTCATAAAACTAAATTACGTACACAACAGCTTACAAGACAAAAATCATACATCCAGAAAAGAAATATACGTACATACGACATACACACACATACAATATAAAGATATGCTACATACACTAGACAAAGACACATATATACACACACAAAACAAAAACATACACACAAACAGACACATCAAACAAAGACAGATAGACATATACACTAGACAAACATACATACACACACATACATACACTAGACAAAGACACATATACACACAAGATACATAATATTCTTCAACACTTGTATGAGTTTCCCTATATCTTCGAAGCGTGGTATTAACATGACACATATCTCTTTGTCTACTGTCGATAACATCTCTCCCTGTCTCCTCCCCACAGTGAGATACAACGCCTTGTTTCTCCCTCTCTCTCTCTCTCTCTCTCTCTCTCTCTCTCTCTCTCTCTCTCCCCACAGTAACCCACAATTTGTCTCTTGTAATGGTGTTTGATTATTCCCACAGCGTCCCACAGGAGTTATCGGTCTTCTAATTAAAGCCTTGGTCTTTCTCACAGTAACCCATGGTCTATTCTCCCACAGTAACCCATACCTTCAACCCGCATTAACCCATACCTCCCACAGCCTCACACACAGTAACCCATAGCCCCCACAGCCTCACCCACAGTAAGCTATAGCCCCCCACAGCAACCCATAGCCCCCACAGTCTCACCCACAGTAACACATAGCCCCACAGCCTCACCCCCCCACCCCCCACAGCCTCACCCACAGTAACCCACGGTCTCTCCTCCCACAGTGCCAACACAGCGCGTCAGTATTCTCAACGCACAAGAGGTGGAGGTAAATGGCGCTGTCGGCCCTTACTCACTCGGGACCAGCCTAGTGCTCACCTGTCAGGCCTCTGGAGGTAAGAGGTGCAGGTGTGTGTGTGTGTGTGTGTGTGTGTGTGTGTGTGTGTGTGTGTGTGTGTGAGAGATAGAGTGGGTGTGGATGAAAGTGTAGATGGAAATGTGGAGTAAGAACATAAACAGAGAGAGAGAGAGAGAGAGGTGACGAATATATGTAAGCTAATGAAAATGAAAATAAACCAAACAATAATTTCCTCTTCTCTTCCTCTCCCCCTTACAGGTCGACCGGCCCCGAAGGTGACCTGGTGGCACGAGGGGTCACTGCTGGATGACCTGATGGAGACCAACACAAGTGACGTCACCCGCAACACCTTGACCTTACCTAACCTGAGTCGTCATCACCTATACCGTGTCATCACCTGTCGGGTAGTTAACTCCAACATAACCAAAGAACAACATGTCTCTGTCACCATTGATATGAGCTGTAAGTAGACGACTAGTGCTCTTTATTACCATTAGATAGTTATATTAGATTAACCTAACCTAACGTAACCTAACCTAACGTAAAGTAAAGTAAACTAACCTAACCTAACCTAACCTAACATAACCTCATCTGAGCTAATTTGAAGTGACCCAGCCTCTTCATTCTTCCATCAAAATAGACATGACATTTGAATGACTCTGTTTTAGTCCGTAACAGGTGTACAGGCTGAACGAGGAATTAACTACTTGTGATTATTGGATTAGCTGGATCATTAACATTCAGTGGCAGTAGTTGTGTTTTTTGGGGGGGATGTCAGGATGAATGAATGTAAGTCGTAAATAATGACCTTAATGGCAACCTAAACATTAGTATATACAGACATTTATAGACAGGTTACATATCATATTATTCCCAGCGTAAAAGAAGAGGAAGTTTACCATAGGAATAAAGTGTGACAAGCTCCTCACAATTGGTTGATCGTCAATGCCAAAAAAAATATATATATATTATACAATTTTCTTCTGTTACTTCCAGCAAGATAAATGGTTCTATTTCCAGCGTCAATTTCACTTGATAGTTTAAGGAGTTATTTTAAGGAGTGTGGTGAGGCTTCGTGCCGTTGTCTACTCTTGTCTTCTGTTGATTTATTCTATTGTCTATAACTCTCTCCTGTGTCTATAACTCTCTCCTGTGTCTATAACTCTCTCCTGTGTCTATAACTCTCTCCTGTGTCTATAACTCTCTCCTGTGTCTATAACTCTCTCCTGTGTCTATAACTTTCTCCTGTGTCTATAACTTTCTCCTGTGTCTATAACTCTCTCTATTTCTTCGTAGGACAGTTATGATAAATCAAACAAAATTTCCTCCATTATTGACAGTCCCGCCCCTTGATGTGAGGATCCTGGGCACCAATATACCTATGTCTGAAGGCAAGAGGTACTCCTTCAAGTGTGAGGCAAGTGGTTCTCGACCCCCTGCTACCCTCTCGTGGTGGATGGACGGTGTGATGATGCCTGCTTCTCCAGATCAGGTACATATACACACAAACACACTCTCTCTTGCTCTCTTTTTTGCTTTATCTGTGTCTCTCTGTTTCTTTCTTTCTTTCTTTGCCTGTCCCTCTCTCTATCTGTTTTTCTCTCTCTTTCTGTGTTTCTGTCTGTTTTTATTCTCTCTCTCTCTCTCTCTCTCTCTCTCTCTCTCTTTGTACTCATCTTTGCCTTTCCTCGTGAATTGACGTCGTTCTAATGACCCCTATCTAGAACCAGGCATTAGTTTGACCTGAAAAACTCTATTCCTTCTCTCACTCCATCTACATACCTCTCTACCTATCTACCAACCAACCAATTTACTTCCCTATTTATCCAAGTACCTAAATATCTCACCTACCTAATCCAATTACATTACTTTCTCCTCCTCCTCCTCCTATCTCTCTCTCTCTCTCTTTCCTACAGGTGGTGTTAGAGAGCAACGTGAGCAAAACAACCCTAAATCTGACCCCAACTAGACAGAACGACGGGGCTATCGTCTCTTGCAGGGCAGAAAACCCAGCCATACCCGGAGCAGCTATGGAGGACATTATCAAGCTCTCTGTTCACTGTAAGTCATACGTTTCTTGTGTTTTTGTGTGTCAAGGAGGTGAGGGTGAATCTGTGGTTATGTCTGATGTTAAAGAGAAAGAAAGGATGTGTTTTTCGTGGCGTTTTCCATAAGGTTTGGTGAAGTGTGTTGTCTATTGGGTGGATTTATTTAAATGTTTGTGTTTGGTTATGTGAGTATGGGTAAGGGAGTTTGTTTTGTTGATTGGGTTGTATTATCAGGAGGTATGGTGTTTTTGTTTGGTTATAAATGGTTTCTCTCTCTTTTTCTCTCATCCACAAGCACACCCCCACCCCCCCCCCCCACACACACATACACTTTTAACAGAGAAAAAAATGAACTAATTGTTGTTTTTCGATGAAGATAACATTATTTCGTCAATTTTCTTGTAGTTTGACCATTGTTTTATGATATATATACACAATGCACTACAAGTTATTATCCGTAATCAGCTGAGGACATTTTAGTTAATTGGTCAAGGTCATTGTTGGTAATCAGCGCCTATTCCATGGTTCATGTCAGTTAGTGTCGTGTTTAGAACAGGTAGTTGCTATAAACACGTATATTAACCTTAAATGCAAAATCGTTTGGCCAATAGGATCGTGACATGAACTCTGGACGGTGAAGCGAAAAAAGAAATGCGTAAAAAAAGAGATTCAATAAAGAGTGAAAACATTAGCAGCTCTTGTTAGTTAATGGTAAGACTATGAAGTATATTGATTTCAGTTTATTTCCCTTGTGTGTGTGTGTGTGTGTGTGTGTGTGTGTGTGTGTGTGTGTGTGTGTGTGTGTGTGTGTGTGTGTGTGTGTGTGTGTGTGTGTGTGTGTGTATGTGTGTGTGTGTGTGTCATTCCCTTGTCTGTAAACTCTGTGAACTATTTTCCCCTTTTCTCAGGAATGTGTCAATAGATTGCTTTGAAACTTTACACCAACCAGCTTTCTACACCTATAGGGCATGACGCATAACAGGAAAAATAGTGTTGAAAATAGTTGGAAAAAAATAAGTCACAAATTATCGAAAATACCCCATTTATCTATTTTTTCATGAAAAATACTCATTTATTAGTCTTTCTTTCTCCCTCTCTCACACAGTATCTTGTTGACCCCACGAGGAATCCGCTACAATATTAAAAGCATTAGGATATTTTTTTCCCAGCATCACATTGACCGATAATTGGCGGCGAACACAACAACATTTTCGACGACCTCAGAACATAAACATTACGTTACACTGTTACCCGGAACTAAATACGAAAATGTTATGGTAGAATTGCATGTTTGATTATGTTTATTTGGTTACGTTAGGAGTATATTAGGTTACAGGTGCCAGGTTCGATACCCGGTACTCATAGATGATTATTTGTATATTTATTTATTTATTTATTTTATTTTTTAGAGGGGAAATAACAATCGTATAAAGAGAAAAAGAACATTACTATCATTTTTGCTCATGGTCGGTAGAGAAAGGAATCAGCTTTTAGGTTGAGAGAGAGAAGGGGAGGGGTAGGGACTGGGAGGCTGCTCCATTTTTGTTTTCATGCTGTTTTCGGCACTGGGAGGATAAAAATAGTAATCTGTTCTGTTATCATAAATACAAGTGGACGCTGGTTATCCCCCATCACGAGATATCTTTCTGGTTATTCTCATTTCACGATATATATATTTTTTTTCTCTGTGATATGACGAGCAATGTATTTTAGACGAACTATACTCCACTTTTCTTGCCTAGGGATCATTTCACCCACGAGAAAAACAATAACAAAATAAAAACATACATACGCACACAGAAAAACACACGCAAACACAACCACCATTCAGTGTATCAGGCAATCGTTTCCTCTTTTACTAGAACTGCTATGGATATTCTCTCTCTCTCTCTCTTCCCCCCTCTCTCTCTTTCTTTCTTTCTCTCTCTCTGTCTCTCCTTGTTTGAGCCAGTTATATCTGTTCTTTTTTTTTGTTTTTCCATTTTGCTGAGAGTGATCGCAACCGGGTTTTTTTTCTCATTCGTTTTGGTCGGGATTTTCGCGTTTATTGGAAGCGTGTTTCCGTTTCCTACGTCGCTGAAACTATATGTATGCATTGCGACTTTCCATCGGACTTGCAAATGATGTTCGTGTGTCTCTTTTTTGTGTGTGTGTGTGTGTCTGTGTTATTAAAACTCTTTCTTTCTTTCTTTCGTTTTCTCTATCTGACTCTCTTTCTTTTTTTCCTCGTTCATTATTTTAAGAGTTTTAGTGAGCTCTATGGAGGATGTGGCAACAGGTTTTGTTATCTGTGTGTGTGTGTGTGTGTGTGTGTGTGTGTGTGTGTGTGTGTGTGTATTTATGTGATCTACATTATGTTACTTTCATGTCATATGTAATGTATCAACATAGCACTAGCCAAACAGCACTATAACACGCTTACCACCACTATAACACCGCAACACTAACACCTCTTCTATAACACCACCAATTTATCACTAACATATCACTATCACAAACCCACCCACCCTGGCGTCTATAATGCTCCACTATCCCCTGACTAACTCCTTAACACCATTATAACTCTCCACTATCCCCCTCCCGTGACGTGGGTACAGACACGCCCCGGGTTCAGCTGCGGGCAGGGCAGAACCTCGTCCTGACCAACATCAAGGAGGGTGACGATGTTTACTTTGAGTGTGTGGTGAAGGCCAGCCCTCCCGCCCACACTGTCCATTGGTACCTCCAGGTGAGTGTATGCTACCTCTCACTCTATTTGATTTTTCTCTTTGTCTCTCTCTCTCTCTATATTTTTTTTATCTTTCTTTCTTTCTCTCTGCCCGTATCGTCCATTGATTCCTCAAAGACCTTATATGCGCTTTGCTCTTATACACTGGAATCCTTCACCTAATTCTCGAAAACAATATTCATTACTGTATATGTGAACCGTTGAGCTGGTATTATTGTTACACGAGAGTGAAGAATAGACTCTGGATACATGAGGAAGAATTAGGATAGAGATAAAGAGTTTGGGGGATAGAGTGAAACCTCCATATAACGAACTACTCTTTCTATATAATCCGCTAGATGGGGGTTTAAGGTTTTGAAATCTAACGGACACCACGATATAACGGAATTCCATCTTTTATATAGTACATAAGATGGAGGTTTCACATCTAACGGACCTTCGCTATAACGGACTTTCTTCTCTATATAATTCGCTAAATAGAGGTTTTACTGTATATATGATACTAAGTAAAAGGAAACAAATATTAAGTGGCAATAATGAGATGTGGAAAGATAGGGAACAGATGAGGGTTCAATCAGGTGATATATTCCCAATGTAACTCAAATACGGTGTTGTGTGGTGGTGTTACAGAGTCAGGAGATACGTCACAACACTTCAGGAGGGGTGATAATGACCAACCACAGCCTAGTGTTACAGAGTGTCAACAGGGAGTCTTCAGGGGCTTATACCTGCTCGGCAACCAACAAACATGGTTCAGCCACCTCCCAACCCATCCGTCTCAGCGTCAAGTGTGAGTACTCCACCTCGAAGTTCCTCCTTGTGATCCTGTGATTGCATTGTCCGTCCTTCTGTTCTCCTTGATGTACTTGAACGATATTCGAGTGGGATTGCGTGAAGCTTAGGTACCCGAGCATATTTCACCAGATGATTAAGCATTTTACAGTTACCTGGAGATGGTTAGGTTAGGTTAGGTTAGGTTAGGTTAGGTTAGGATAGGTTAGGTTAGGTTAGGTTAGGTTAGGATAGGTTAGGTTAGATGTTTAATCATTAGGTGAAATACACTGGAGCACAAGACCTAACTATAAATATTCGTCTTCATACCCCGCCTCAACTCTCGGTTAACCGTATTATCAGGTGCATCAAGTCTTATTAGAAGTCTTATATACCCTACGTCTGAGGCTGATAACACCACCGAGAACCTCTGTATGAGTATTTATCGCCAACATAATCCAATTCTCTTTAACCACTTCCTGCAGTTTATAGTCGCCTCTAACGTCACGTGGCTCGTAAATGGTGTTGGATCCGTCTTCCTGTGGATTCGGATTCTAATGTTTTCTAAATGAAGAGTTGGAGGTATAGTTTCGATACTATTTTGTTTGACGTTTATTGTGTTGTATCTTAATTCAGAGAGTAAGAGTCATTAGTTACAGGATAAACGTGAAGTGTTGGCGTCTCTTGTCTTCATTGATGATTCCTATACTATTGATGTTTGATGTACTGAGCATAATGCATATTTAGTGTACATCTGTGTCTTTGATGTACATATGTGCTCTGATGTATACATGTGTCTTCCCTGTACACACGAGTCTTGATGTACACACGTGTCTTTGCTGTACACACGAGTCCTGATGGTGGTGTACACATAAGAGGAACTACCACAGGATTGTAGCCGCCAGCAGGTGAAATACAGAGGTCCAGCTGGAAGACGTTGTAATACCAGAGGAAGGAGAGGAGGCTACAGCTTCTCCCTGTCAATACTTCAATACATAAACTCATTGTCGTGACGTAGAGTGGCAGGGGACAACACTCACCACGATATACACTCAAGAGAGATGTCTCCATAAATGAATACATATCTTCCTGTTTATATACGAGTATATATATTTCAAGATGCATTAAACGTGTATTATCCTCTTGTTTTATTTCATCTAATTGTCTAAATGTGATTAAGTCATACACATCACCTCTGTAGCGTCAGCCTCAGTAGGTTAGTAACTGCCGCTAACTGTAGCACCTAGTGTAAATGTTTTCCGTTCGCTGGTCAACACCTCAGGTATGAATTGCACGTCACTACCCAGAGATCTTAGAGTCGTTGGGGACCTGAGCACCTGTAATCCAATAAGATTTCTCATCGACCCAGTTTCAATAGTTATGGCGATTCACCGTCCCATTTAGATAGAATGGTACTAAATCACTAGTCACGAGATGGGACAACTATATTGGCTTTTCCATATCAAGTCTGTGTTCAAGCCACTTATTACATTCTACTCTAAGATCGAACCGTCCCAGTTAACTTAAGTAGGGAGGAATTAATTCACGTATAAAACATGTATCAACCAGATGACTAACTCTTTCCTCCTGATTAGTTATAACCAATGACTTGTTCTTGATTTTACTTTGTACGACAACAAGTAAGCTATGCCAACCAAATCTAACCACACGAAACTCTATCTATCTTAATCTAACTTAATCCAACCCACCTTTAGCTTAATCTAACCTTCATTTAACATAACCTAACTCATGTTGCTGAATATAACTGACACTTTTTTAAGTTATTATTCTACTTTTCATTCTCTTTAAAACTCCCCTTTTCCCCACAGCTGTTCTGACCATTTCCTCTCCTCTCTCTGACCAATTCTCCTATTCTCCAGCAACATTCTGTAATAGTGCACAACTGGCAATACGACCCTGAGAATAGTATAGCCTTTACGATTTCTTACTCCCATTCCCTTCGTTTTTTCCTGATGAAATTTATTCCTGAACACATCCCCGATATCCTCAAGATCAAAATGGAATAACATATATCTAAAAAAAATCAAGGAAATGTTTCCATCCCTCCTTTCCATCTCTCTCCCATCCATCCCTCCCTCTCCCAAGGCATCAATAGTATTAATAGCAAAAGCCATATTGACTCAACAAATCCAATTCCTCTGTACAAACATAAACAGAGATACCTGAATATAACGGACTTCTTCTCATATAATCCGTTAGAAGGAGGTTTCACATCTAATGGACCCTCGATATAAAGGAATCTCATCTCAATATACAGTAGTTCATTAGATGGAGGTTTCACATCTAACGGATCCTTAATATAACGGACTTTCATCTCTATATAGTTCATCAGATAGAGGTTTACACTTAATTACAACCAGACAAGAGTTATTAGGACATTATTAAGCTGTTCACATCCACAGTCTAGTGACCAATTCAAACCACAGTCAATTATTCTAGTTCAATTGTGATGTTTTGGTCTCCATCGTCACCAGCCATTCATTCTGTCTTCCTGTGGTTAGTGTGTCTCCTCTTATCACAATAATCTCCAATAGTTCAACACCTCCGGCTTCAGTTATCTCCCATCTTGGACACGGAGAAGCTCTGGTTGAAGAGACATGATCATGAAGCTTATCTGATCTCTCTCTTCGTCTACGTTATTTGTTTTTTATAAGAAAGAAGATTTTTTTTTTCTCGAAGTATATCTAAACAGACTCGAGGTATATATGACTGCTTGTGGGTCTGATAGTTAGTTTGGTCTGGGGATGATCAACACGAGGACGACCAACACGAGGATGACCAACACGAGGACGACCAACACGAGGCCACTCCTGTAATCACTTTGAAAACTTTCCCGGAAATTCTCTGTCATGACCGAGGCTTATCACGGTACAGGTGACCGAGCGCGTCTCACCTGCCTGTGTCTCACCTGAGTACAGACTTAAGGACAGACAAAAATGGAGGCACTGAAATACATACGGAGACTTAAATGAATAATTAATAGGTGTTAGTAAGTAGCACTTGGTGTTATTTGTGAAAAATATCGCCGTGATATTAGGGACATACTTGAAATAATGAGAAAATACGACCTATTTTTTTTTTAACGAAACAATTGATATTTAGTGGAATATGTTTACAATATCACCTTTGCTTGAAGTTATTGATATAAGAGGAAATAATTTGTTTGTACGGATGGTGCGAACTGCCTCACCTATTGACAACTTCCGAGGCTTCTTGAATAATGAGTGACAATATATTTTCTAGCCTACATTTCCTCTCCGTTCTTAAGAAATTTCAAGGAAGATCTCTGTTAAATGGTGCCACCGTCTCTCTTAGTGTTTACCTGAGACATGTTGGCTGACGAGGGCTTTATTCTCGTCTTATGTGTCGATGTTTTGCATATTTTAGTCTCTGCTCTTGAGAAATTCCCGGGATTCTTACTCTCTGAAAGGCGCTCGTCTCGCTCCCTCCACCTGAGAGACCCGTTGGCTGACGAACACCTTCAAGAAAACAAACTGCTAAGATTTGGCAGACAATCATCCCTATTATTGCTCTCTCTCTCTCTCTCTCTCTCTCTCTCTCTCTCTCTCTCTCTCTCTCTCTCTCTCTCTCTCTCTTTCTCTCTCTCTCTCTCTCCAGTACGTCACTTGCTCCCCTTTTATGTACCGGAGTACCGATATAGAGTCAACCTTCCCCTCTCATCCCCTCAACGCTCGGGGTAACATTTTAACAGTCGGACAGGCAAAGTAATCAACCAGTCAACCAAGATACAGATGGATAGTAATATGAGTTACCTTTTACGTAGCTGTGTATGAGGCTCAGTAATTAGTTGTGGAGAAAAGATAAGTCAACAACGACGACGCCAATAATAATAATAATAATAATAATAATAATAATAATAATAATAATAATAATAATAATAATAATAATAATAATAATAATAATAATAATAATAATAATAATAATAATAATAATAATAATAATAATAATAATAATAATATGCGTAGACAAACTCTCTTTAAATATATCGTTAAAACAGGTAAGGTTTCAAAGCTATTGAAATAGCGCTGAGGTACAATGTTTCCTGGGGTCTTGTATAAACAGATCACATAATCGAAACTACAATATTAAGCTTAATGAAACAGGTAACTTATTTCAATATGTTCACTGGAAAAAGCTAACGTGCAGCATTTAAGCTCTTTGAAAAAGCTAAGCTGCAGCATTAAGCTCTCTGAAACAGTTAAGTTGTGCGTGATGACCGGGCTTTGTGTATTTTGAGCGACGTTCCTCACCGTCGACACACAGGCGTCAGATCAGTATCCACGCCTTTGCTGCTGGATAATTTTATTACAAGGTAGGAAATTGGTTTAAGCCACTCAGTCAGGTAGACGACCTACCTTGTCCACTCTCTCACTAGGTAGGGGAGGAGGGTAAAGAGGAAGGGGAGAGGTGGGGAAGGGTGAGGGGGGAAGGCAGGTGTGAGTGGCGGTCCTCACCAGCAGGTGATAAAGCACACCTCCCCACCTGTGTGACCTGAGACTCTCTCCCGGCACTCTGCCTCAAGCGAGAGGCGCGGCAGGTGAGCACAGCACTTTCCTCCATTAATGATACATATATATAATTTATCATTATCACAATGTCTACCGTCATGCACAGTTAATCATATCCAATCATTAAGGATTAACATTTGGTTTTCTTAAATAATTCTAATAAAGAATCTGGAGGCGTCTGAAGATGTTCGAGGTTTACCTGGGCAGTAAAATGAATATAAACCGGGTAATATTATTTCAAATAGTAATACGCTGTACTAATAACAATAGTACTGGTAATAGTCGTAATAATAATAATAGAATAAAGAATAAATAAATTACAACATAAATAAATATGTTAAATGAATAAATAAAGAACTGTGATGCAGGATAGTGTTCAATTCAAGTCTAAAAATTGACTTTTGAAGAACAATGGACAACACAATCAAACTCAGTAACTGTCAAGTGTTGTGAGAGACTGTTTACCCCAACCCAACCTAACCTGACCTGACCTAATCTAACCTAACCTGACCTGACCTGACCTAACCTAACCTAACTTAACCTAACCTAACCTAACCTAACCTACAGTAGTCTTAAATAGAGGGTCACATCTTCCCTACCCCATCATAATGTTGAAAAGATATATGGTTATTATAGACTTTATATTATTTTTTCAATATATAGTAAGTTTTATATGTTGCTGTTTGCATAAGATAAACAAACTGTTACAGGGTGTTGAAACTGAGAGTGTAATAGAGAACTGATGGTCCAAAGTAAACAAAATTGACGTTAATATCACCAAACGAATGTGTAATGCTGTTTATAAATTCAACCAGAGCCTGGCGTCCTCCCCATCGGCCTCGTCATTACTCCAGCTGGAAAAAGAAATGACCTGCTCGTGCTGTAGATATAACTAATTTTTCCCCACTTTGGTTGATACAGCTGGGGGGTCATGTCCTCTCTCTCGTTCAGGGTGTCTGATTGTTCAGTATTTCGTCTGTGTCTCCCCGCGCATGTGTAGGTGTGCCTGCTGATCAAACAAACACATATACTAACAAAGAGACTTCGATTCATCTGTGTATCACTGCTTCATCAGACACGCCGGTGTGTATAGAGGAGCAGCAGTGGACGTACGGCGGGGGACGCGGTGACCAGGTGAACGTCAGTTGCCAGGTGGACGCCCATCCGGAGCCTCACACCTTCCGCTGGGCTTTCAATACCTCGGCTGAGATGCTGTACATCCCCAACGACCACGTACACCTCCAGCGGAGCGGCAGCGTGATGGCTTACACACCCAAGACACACCACGACTTTGGTACTTTGTTGTGCTGGGCCGTCAACGAAGTGGGCTCTCAGCCACTCCCTTGCGTGTACATGGTAGTGCCTGCAGGTAAGGTTCCTTTGTCACTACCTCTAAACATATGTGGTATTGTCAGTTAAGACATTCAGTAATGCAAAAATAAACGAGAAGAACTTAGTAATATAATTCATGGTACAAAATTTACATTCACAAACATTTTCCATTCTGATAAATCTTTAAATACTGAAGTTATGGGAATATGGAAATCTAGGAGACACTTTACGAGGATAGTCACTACGTTGTTCCTGAAGCTTTATAGCCACCGTAAACGATGGTACATAGCTAGTAGCAGGACACGTAAGCCTCAACATACACATTACACTAAAATCCCAATATAAAAATGCAGCAGATATGCAGCACGAGGGGAGGCAGCTCGTAAATTTAATTCTCTTATTTTTATTTTATTTTAGTGAGTGAAATTCGTAATATAAACCTTTAATTACACGCTCTGAACTGCAGTGTTTTGCATAGTTTGGCGTCCATGACTAATACTAGAACAGTAGTTAGTAGGACAAATATAAAACAAACAATGGCCAAAATATATTTGGAATATCCAGGAATTAACACATGCCAGTAGAGAGCGCTATAGCCAACCTAGATGGCTAGGTTAGGTTTTCTTGGTTCATGTTGCCTGTTTTCATCTAGAAACATGACATCAGTCTGCCTCCGGAAGGCGGACACTCCCTAGCCCCACAAGGTAAAGTTCTCGTACTTCTTGTGCAAAAGTATTGAACTATATAGGACATAGGACTGACAAACGTTTCCCTTACAGCGGCTCCTGACCCAGTACACAACTGTAGTGTGTGGCACAACGCCAGCGCCGCAGGGGAGGTGGTCGTGTCGTGTGAGGCGGGCTGGAGTGGCGGCCTTACTCAGACCTTCACTCTGGAGGTGCGGCAGATGACGGCGTCGGGGGAGGCGGGCCCCGTGATCACGTCCCTGCAGCAACAGACGCAGCCTCACTTCACCGTAACAGGTTTGGCCCCGGGCACCGAGTACCAGCTGGCCGTAGGAGCGTCCAACACCCAGGGAGCCGCGCCCTCCACCCTCCTTCTCCACCACACGCCCATAGACGTCGCCGAGAAACGCACCAGTGCAGCTGCGGCGGAGTCCTTTGGCGTGGGTCTTAATCAAGCGATGATTGCGGGGATCCTAGCGGTGGTCGCGGGCGCCGTGGGGTCCCTGGTGATCTGCTCAGTAGTACTGGTGCTGGTGATCCGTGGGCGCCTCAGACACGCCCACAACCAGCCTCGGGTGATGTACGATAAGGCGACGCCCCAGGCCAAGAGTTGTGATCACGGAGGCTTCGACCAACTGCACCGGGGTCCTGACCTCATCCTTGTGAAGACTGGTGAGTGTCTGATTACTCGACATATTAACAACGCATCAGGCACAGTAACTCACACGTCTCATCCACAAATAGCCAAATAGGTTGCTAGTTTGTAATGACTCATTTAAATATATTAAAAGCCTAAATTTCGAGTTTCCTGACCCATCTGGCAACACCGTTATATGAACTCAACACTTCAACAACCCCACCTGTCCCCTCTCCTACCTCACGTAGTTCCCAGAAGAGAACAATGAAGATGATTGAACACCCTGACCATGACCTCTCTTATAATACATACCCAACATTATGGTCATCAACCAGTCCATGATAAAAATAATGATAGCACAAGTAAATGTAAGACAAATATTGAAAAGTACAAAATGTGTTTAGTCACATAAGACAGCGTTTGTTTGTAGAATAATCACGACATAATTAGATGATTGCGGCTGGATAAATGTGACTCAAACTGTGGGTCTCGTCCTCTACACAGTGTCAAGAACTTCAATCTCGTAATTATAAATCAATTTGTGAATTGTTTATCAAAATTTGTAATTATGTTATTACGAGTCATTTATTCCTGTCTGTTATTATAACGTCCGCCATAAATTATATTTCAGATATAATTTGTGTTTTTCAGTAGTTCTTTTGTGTCACTGGTACAAATATTTTCCTTGTTCCATCTCCTCTTCGATCCAAAAGTCCATAGATAAAATACCTTTGGTTTTGTGGTGGCCATTTTTAATTATAACAATTCTTTTTTGATATGCCAAGGTTATATCTACAAGTATAACCAAACTACATGATGGGGCAGTTATGTTATGTGGCTTGTCATATGGGACCCAATTTTAATAGGTCACAGCCTTCATTAATCCACAACTAAACCTAAGCAGGAGAACTGGAGCAAGTTCTAGTCGGCCTCAGCGTTAATGAGCCCCAGTCATAATACATATGTGAAGTTGGGATCCATTAGCCCTGGGGCCCAACTGACCTACTCTGCAATTTCCCGATGACGTCACCTAACACAGCTCACCCACCGCCATTGTTGAGGTAAACAAACGAGTAATAACAAAGACTCAGTGATTGCGTGAAAATTAGATTTCATAACTTTTATACACACAAATACGGCTTTTGAATAACAGAGATTCGTTTACTAATTAATTTAAGAATTGAAAATGAGCGGAAATTGAAAGTTGTTGGGTTGTAATGTTGTTCATATTAGCATTCAAACGATAGCAACAAGAATTATCCAATAGAAATGGTCCGAAACACAATTTGGATTCAACTACTAATTCCTGATTAACACATCTGGCGTATTTATTGAGGAAAGAGTGTAGAAAAGTACAGACACAGACACACACACACACACACACACACACACACACACACACACACACACACACGAGACAAAACGAAGCGAGTTAGCTTTTTCATATAATATAGTATAAAAGTCATTGCAGGATAACAAGCCTACACTGTACACTTGGCCCCAGGTGTATGTCGTAATGGATCATTGATCTCCTTGTGCAGTAGCCCAACGAGTTTGCAAAAGCCCACAGCTAACAGTAAACCAAGAAAATATTGTAACAGCGGGAGGGAGCTCAACTAAGGCTGAAAAAATGTGATAGCCAGAGGGGCGAGTAGAGGGCCAGGCCAGGTGCAGTACTGACAGCCTCCCTCACCTCTATGTTGCACGTATATAAATATCTTGGAAAAGAGTATGTTTAAATAATGGCCTGTATTAAATATCTAGACAGCCTTAATGCTGCCGTAAAAGGTCGGATGTGTCTAGTTTAACAGGCAGGCCACAGCGCCACGCCCACCAATATATATCTGCCATAAGCTGTCGTCTTGCATTTCTCTTTAGCATTAGGAAAAAGTTAACTCACTTCGTTTGGTCACCTGTGTTTACTGCAGCGTTAAACACCAAATGATTTGGACATCTTACCTCAGGAAATAAGGTGTGACCAGAGTTTACAGCATAGAATATTAACAACCAATGCGTCATAATACTTTACCAGGACACTCACACACACACACACACACACACACACACACACCGCTGGTATAATGTAGATAATATACACACACCATCGTTAATATCAGATGATGGTCCACATTTTCCCCTCATATTTTTGCTTTAATATTAACCCATACTAATATAAATATATTTTTTTAGTAATTACGCTTTTCATATTTGGATATATTAAAAAAAGTTTTCATCATTTATTTTCCTTAAATTTTCATGTTTAATAATAGTTCTGGAGGCTTTAGGGAGACTGTAGTCCATCATGGCTGTTTATTCATATTTAAATTTTTAGTTGTTGTAATTTATTCATTTTAGGGAAGAAGGACAGTAGCCAACACCCAGCCGTGACCTGTGCAGCCACAACACCCGGCACTATAACTGTGAGTACCTCCCTTGTTGTTATAACCATGTTGTAGTGTTTACCTCATATACAAAGTTGATAACGCTCGTTTTAATCACAGGAAAACGCAATATCACCTAAAACTACGACAGAACTATACAATAGAAAGGTCTCGCTCGCCCCGGCCAGCCAGCCTCTACCACCCATCATTCCTCTCACATTCCTTACCCTACGACTTCCACCCTAAAAATAGAAGGAAAAAATGCCTTCCAATATTTCACTGCAGGACAAGTTGTAGTGGGGAAAAAAAGAATAGTCTTATATTTATTTCGAACATAGGAAAAGACTCTTGACCCACGACCTACTACCCACGACTTACTACCCACGACCTACTACCCACGACCTATTACCCACGACCTACTACAATCGATTCACTCTCCGCTGTGCAGGAAAATATTGTCAGGTCATAGAGATAATTACATGATAGTGATGATAATATTAACATGATTGATAACGACAATAAAGTAGTGTAAAAAGAAGTAATAATAACAATAACAATAACAATAATAATAATAATAATAATAATAATAATAATAATAATAATAATAATAACAAAACAACAGCATCCCAACGGAGATCTTTGTCGACAATTGCCCTGATAAATCTTCAGCTCAATTACATCTGGACGTAAAGGAGATAAATAGCTTAAGTGAGGTGGCTCCCTTAACAGTACTTCTGGTCTAGTCAGATGTCATTATTTAGTAAGAAACGTTTCCATAAGAATTAAAAAAAATACTTTACCCTGGTCGTTACACTGTCTAGGAGATATAATGGCAATAATCTAAGGCCATAAAGTTGATCTTAGGTGAGTTGTAGCTTCATTTTAGCCCTAAAGTGCAATAACAATTACGTAAGGGTTTCGTCTCGGCATAAACACGTAGTAATTGTGTGGGTTTTTTTTCTCCAGGATTGTCGCTAAATATTTTTTTCTGGTGTATACAGTAGGATGTAAATCTGGTGGAGGATTAACCAACACGGAATAGAAAATAAGTTTCGATAAATAATAAGGTTTTATGATCTTAATTTATGATCAAGGGACCTGTGATCTTTTATCTTCCATACCTGATTTTAAAACATTAGGTCAATATGATTATAGAACCTCATATAATATATCATTGTTGTTATAGACGTTACTAATTTTCTCCAGATTAATTATATACTTCTAAAGGTATAACAGTAATTAAGTCGACAGAGGTTATGATAATCACAATATTCCCAAGAGGCGGTTCCACATGGATAAGAAATTCAAGTTATCAAAACGAATTTAAAAGGTCTTCACAGTTTGACGGAAAGATATATTAATGTGAAGACTCTGAAAATACCTTCCTATTTGAATGAACAGCTTCAATGATTTGGTGGGGAAGACTTCAGAGAATGAAATTACGATCGGCTAGACACGAAGAGGCCATAATCTTGTTCCCATAAAGACAGTGACAGTTCTTAATCACTTATAGCCCGTGACAGCACTGTGTTATGTGCCTTGAGGTAACTGTCACTTGAAGGGGAGTGAAGTAGCCATATAGATCTCTTGTCGTAGTTGTAGTGCGAAGGAGGGAAACTAGAGGTATTGTAGCGAGAAGGAGAGGTTAGTAATTTAGATAATGAGAGGCTGAAAGGTACTAATTAAAATATAAAAGAATAGAAAGAGTAAGAGAGTTCCCTTTACAAATTTTCTCTGTAATTTGTGAATAAGATTAACGAATCTCTTTCTCTCTCGTCTTTGTTTCAGTGCGGCCATCAGGTGGGATCTTCATCTTCCATTAACCCTGTCGGTACCTGCATCACCAGCCCTTCCAGCATTCTTAACCTCGCTACCACCAGTAACGTCAACACCGGCAATGGCAGCGTCAACACCAGCAACAGCAGTATTAGTTCCACCAACAGCGTCGTTGGTACCAGCACAAGCACCACCAATAACCCAAACTCAGGCTCACCAATGACAACAAATAGCGGGACCATTTTAAGCCCCCCAAAAGGTACAGTTTTGAGCTCCAGCGGCAGCGGTACTGTGACAAATTCCAGCACCGATGCTCTCATAAATCCTTCGAGTGGCGCCATTGTGAGTCCCTGCGGTGCAGTCTTGGAAACAGGCAGCGGAAGCATTAGTGCAGTCACCAGCGCGGCCGTCATTCACTCCGGAGAGCCTCTGGAGAGCCAAAGACCTCGCCCAGTATCCATGGCGTCACCGGCCACGCTGGAAGACTTTCATAACCGGAAGGGTCACTCGTCCTCCAGTACTGGGCGGCGTCCCTCCTTCACCTCCTCCACTATGCCCCGCCGTTCCTCCACCGTGGCTCTCCACCCAGAGTTCCTCCCGCATGACCTCAGTACCAGCAGGGAGAGTTGCGTCTAGTTATTAGGTGAGGACGGTTGTTGTGGTTGACGGCATGTTTGTAGTGTACTTTCCCTCACACTAACATAATGACTATCACTGACACCTTCCAAGTAAGTGGATTAGTTTGCTCTTGCTGGTTTAAACAAAGTAACAGCTCCTGAAATCTTGTACACTAAATTGTTACTTGTTATTGAGTTTGGGAGAACAGAAAATGCTTTGATATTTGCCTGAGATTAGAGATGTCCTTACCCTGACAAACATTAGAATGTAAAACTCGAAAAAATAAACCAAGTCCACGTCTTCGATCAAATAAAATTCGCGTGAAAGTAATAAATAATTAAGACTAAATATCCTTGTAATTACTTAAGGTTCATACAGCCTCTAATGTTGAGTCGGATGCCTTCACCACTAAATAAAAACAATTACTATTTATACAACGAATTTTAGTTAATATCTCTGTTAAAAAATACAGTATGTTTATTTAACTTGGTATGGTACAGAAAGTTTGTTAATACGTACACTCCATTCAATGATATCCAGAAAAAAACAGTATTGGCCGTTTAATATATTCCATTAAATCATAAACACTCCAGGATACACCTAAATAAAGACTAAATATTGTAATTAAATTTGTCTAGTTCTGGATACAAAATAAAACAATATTTTTTAAAAGACTCGACACTATGTACACATATTGTATCAGAGGAGGGAAATATTACGGTCGTAGCAACATTGTGTAACCATTCATATGTAAATCTGTTAACATCGACTAGAGTTATTCGACAGCAAAAGAATGTAACTAGTAGTGACATGTTGTGAGACAGTTCTGAAATGTGATTTTGTAAACTCAGCTGTTTTGAAAAGTGATTATTTTTACAGTTAAATCTGATTCAGTTTATTGAAACCTTTTACGGTGTTGAAATATAGACTATTGTTCAGGTATTTCGTGATTAATTAAAATTGTTTATTATTAATATTATTATTATTATTAAAATTATTATTATTATTATTATTAAAATTATTAAAATTATTAAAATTATTAAAATTATTAAAATAATAATTATTATTATTATTATTATTATTATTATTATTATTATTATTATTATTATTATTATTATTATTATTATTATTATTATTATTATTATTATTATTATTATTATTATTATTATTATTTGGACTCTACGATGTTATTATGAAAGTATGTAATTATTCAGGTATAATTATTAATATTATTTTTCGTTCACGGTGTTCAAACAAAGGCCTGTTTCCTTCCACAGGTGTCTGGCTAATGAGACGTCGGTAAGGAACACACACCTGATTAGCTGCCCTCACTTAGTTAACACGGACCGCACGTTCTCCTGGTCCACGTGTGCACCTGGTCGACATGTTCTTCTGGGCCACGTGTTCTCATGGACCACAGATTCTCCATGGACCAGGGGAACAGAGGGACTAGGGTAGTATGTGAACCAGGCAGTGAACCGGTCCACAGAACCCCAGCCACACTCGACTCCCCAGATTTTACCCCCCTCCCCCCAGAGTAAACAAAGAGTGGCACTGACCCCAGATATTCCCCTGAGCTCTGTCTGTGACCTGTACAGTATATAAGTAAATGAATAAATGAATATATAAAATAATTATAGAAAGCTGTTATATAAAAAAAATATAAAGAATCTAAGAGCGGTACCATAGAGACAGCGCCAGGCGTACGTTCGCCCATCTTCTGTATAAGGAATGACGCTTGTCTATGGTATGAGCTTCTGTCCCAAGAGTGATCTTCCTTCCCTCTCCACTCATTACCCCCTTCTCCTCATTCCTCCCCATCCCCTCCCCCTTCTTTCCTCCTATCCTTTCCCCTCTCCTATTCTCCCCTCTTCAAATACCCTCTTGTCCTATTTCTACCCTTTTCCTCCCTTCCCACTCCATTCCATTCCTAGCCTCCATTATCCGCATTCTCCATCCATCTCCTCTTCTCTCCCCCCCTTCCCTCCTACCCTCCCACCCTCCCCTTTCCCAAATTAGAAACAAAAAAAAAGATGTGTACTGTCTTTCCATCATTTCCTAAACTTTTGTATAAAGAGACATTGCTCATATGTTAGAAGACTTACCGGTATGTACACAAGTATCTGTTAGCGTTTGTATGTATGTATTGTGTATATGTGTTTATCCCAATGTGTGTTTATATACCGTGAGAGAGAAGGACAAAAGATGATGCATTAGGAAGAGAAAGCGTCATTTTTGTATTCTCTTTGTCATACATATATTATAAATATATATATAAGTGTATATACATGTGTATGTGTGTGTGTGTGTGTGTGTAGGTTTGTCTGTCTTTCTGTACGTGTGTGCGCTTATGCTTATGTGTAATTTTCATGTGTGTGTGTGTGTGTGTGTGTGTGTGTGTGTGTGTGTGTGTGTGTGTGTGTGTTTCTTTCTGCATCTGTACAGTACGCGTATGTATGGTTTATTATACTTAGAGAAATACGACAAAAAATCAGCTTAAAGCGGTATAGAGAAGTACCAAATATACAATACGCGATTCTTAGATAAAGTTTACCCAAGATTTCGTTCTTGATTGACAGTCGGAACAGAAGGGATAATTTACAAAGCTCTCAATGTTACAAGAGTAAGTAGTCTGGTAAGGGACGATAACTTTCTACTCCGGGAAGTGTCAGGTATGAATAATATAAATGGAACAAAAAATTCACCAGACAGAATTAAAACTTTTGTTGTGGTAACGAAAACTATCCAAGTCGATTTAAGTGTTTGGAGTTAATATAAACATTATTTATATATTACAGAAATAAAATCAGGTATAAACATATCAAAAAAAAGATATATAAAATACCATAGAATCTACTAAAGTAATGGAATTGGAATAGTCATCGATCTTCTTTTCACCGCTAAGGTTGATGCCGTCTCCACCTGTCTCACCCGTCACACACCACCTGCGTCACCCGTCACACACCACAAATAACCTCATCCGTCACACACCACCAACCACCTCATCCGTCACACACCACCAATAACCTCACCCGTCACACACCACCAATAACCTCACCCGTCACACACCACCAACCACCTCACCCGTCACACACCACCAACCACCTCACCCGTCACACACCACCAACCACCTCACCCGTCACACACCACCAACCACCTCACCCGTCACACACCACCAATAACCTCACCCGTCACACACCACCAACCACCTCACCCGTCACACACACCTCCACACTCGAGTAACAAGATAGATATTGAATCAAATAATGAGAAATTCACATTATTTTTTTACAATATATATTTTTTTCTTATTCAGGAGACAAAACCATGACATCGTAAGCTTACACCTCCGACATCGTAAGCTTACACCCCTGACATCGTAAGCTTACATCTCTATTAAACTTGCATATATTTTCTATCTAATTTTATATTTTTGGTTAAATTTATGTTAAATATAAACAACTCGAAACAATAATAGTTCTCATCGTGGTATATTATTGTGATTAGTTAGTGGAAGCGAATATTGATAGGAGCTAACTTCTCTCATGTAAATTAAGCAATGAAACAAAGTAAAGTGGGAGTAAAATTGATGAAACAATATTGAAGGATTCTATGAAAAATATTACAGGTAATTTTGAGGCAGATGTGGTATATTTTGAGGTGAGTTGTATGTGTGTGTGTGTGTGTGTGTGTGTGTGTGTGTGTGTGGAGGAGTTCATGTACGCATGTGTGTGGGTATTCATGTACAGATATGTGTGGTTCATGTATGTGTCATGTACGTGTTCATGTACATGTGTGTGTGTTCATGCACGTATGTGTGTGGAGGTGTTCATGTACGTATGTGTGGTAGCGTTCATGTTCGTGTGTGGAGGTGTTCATGTACAATATGTGTGTGTGTGTGTGTGTGTGAATGTGTTCATGTACGTATATGTGGAGGTGTTTATGTACGTGTGTATGACATGTAGCTTTGTACTCAGTGTATGTCTTTTAAAGGAAAAAATAAATAAAAAAATATGTTGGTATATTCATTGTTTTTCTCACCTGAAGAACTAGTTTCACACACACACACACACACACCTTTCAAAAACACCAATAAATAACAAAACCAATATCATTATATGTTTGCTATCTAGAAAAATTATTAAGAAAATTACATTGATATCATTACTAGACTAAACAACCAATCAACTAGTATTTAGAAAATGAAGGAATAATTCTGCCATTCTATAATTACCAAACAACAACACAGTAACACAAACAATATATTTTCTGACATATACCTTAATAAGTTACACCTCAGTCGACCAATAAAAGGTAATCTGAATTAGTGTGTTGATTCAGAGAGGTGTGATACCGTGGCTGATATATTTTATGTTCTTATGTCTCTCTCTAAGCTCCTCTGTCTCTCCTTTCATAAGATTTTACATTTACACGAGTCTACAGAAATTCTTAGTCCCGACTCGTGCTGTGATTGGGTGAATATTAAACGTTTTGGTCCCAACTCGTGCTGTGATTGGGTGGCAGTAAACCTATTTGGTCCAAACTCGTTCTGTGAATGGATGGCTACCAAACTTAAATCTCAAACTCGGTCTGTGATTGGATGCCCTTGAAGCCTCCTTAAAGCTTATAGAGGCTTCAGCAAGAGAAAAAAAATCAAATCTAAGCTTCATATTTTTTTCTGCACTTTTTCTGGAGGTAAAAGTTTTAGACATATAAGTAAAATTCTTTGAAAAGCGGACCAGGAGCTTCAGCCCTTGGCCAGGAGACAAGTGGAACCATTTGTTGTACAGGCGTCATGGAAAACACATTCTGTTCACGTCCTCTCCTCCTTCTCTTATTCTTCTTCTTCTTCTTTTCCACTTGTTTCTGTTACCTGTCTTCTTTTTCTTCACGCCTTTTTTTTTTGCTCCTGTTCTCTTATTGCTCTTCTTCTCTTTTTTCTCTTCTTCTTGCTCTTGTTCTCTTCATTTTGCTCTTGTTCTCTTTATCTTGTTTTTGTTCTCTTCTTTTTATTCTTGTTCTCTTTTTCTTGTTCTCTTCTCTTTATTCATGTTCTCTTCTTGTTCCTGTTCTCTTCTTTTATCTCAACAGACCTAGAAATATCAACGCGTGAGAAAGAGGTAGGAGAAAAGTGAAGATGAGAGGAAGAGGGAAGGGAGAGAGAGACAGAGAAGCGTCAAATGAAAAAGGGGGAACAGAAAAAGAAGAGATAATATGTGAATGAGTCGAAAAGAAAGAAAGAAAGAAAGAAAGAAAGAAAAAACTATAAAAAATAAAGAAAAGAATTAATCCTTTTCCACCTCCTCCCTATGCCATAACAGGTAAGTGACCCCAGGAGTGTGATTTTTTTTTATTTATTGGAAAAGTTTCACATTTACCTAACTCTTAAAGACACAGTGAACAAGTACATCAAAAAATTAAAAGTCACTTAAATGAGAATGAGAAAAGGTTAGGTTAGGTGAGGTTAGGTTATATCAGGGGTAGGTTAGCGTAGGTTAGGTTTAGAGTCTAAGGATTGTGCGAATTCCTTTAATTATATCAATGGTTTTCAGAATAAGAGTAAAACTTGACAAAACATCACCGAAAGAATTAAAAAAAAACAATTATATGAAACGTAAAATTAGTCATGGAAAAATAAATATATATTTTTCAAGCCATTAACATAACTAGTTTCCATAATTACACCTTAATTTTTTTAACCCCAGAACTTTAATCAGCATTTGTAGAAGTGTCGTTGTTGGAACTCTGAAGGCAATCAAAATTATTCTAAAAAGATATAAACAAAGGGAAAAAAATTCGGGGGGAAAGGGGGGTGAGGCGGGAGGGTGAGGGGAGGTTAGGGGGAGGTGAGGGAGGTGAGGGGGAGGTTACGGGGGGGAGGTGAGGGGGGGAGGGTGAGCGGGAGGAGAAGCAGGATAGCACATTTTCTCTTTTTTTTTGAAGTGAAAATTAATGACGTCAAACTCTCCTTCATGTCATCTGTGTTAGGTGTTTGTGATGACTGATTTGTTTATGTAATGTTGTAATTATGGTGTTAACATTGTGTAATATAACATCATAGTGTTGAGGAAGCGTTTATTGATAGTGTGGTGGAGATATGGGTGCTCTCTCTCTCTCTCTCTCTCTCTCTCTCTCTCTCTCTCTCTCTCTCTCACACACACACACACACACAGAGACACACACACACACACAGTAATAGTCACCAACCCTTGCACAGTCTCAAGTCTCCTCCCAAGATTTCATCAACCTGTTTCTTGCAGCAGTTTGCATAATTGCTCAAGTAAAGCCAACAGTATTATTCCAAGTGACACATACATTAACTTAAGGTCTTTCAACGGGATTCACAAAGGCTCGTAAGATAATTATTCGTCGTTGGTAAAAATATAAGAATGCACTGGATTGTTTGAACTCAACGCAACTACACACACACACACACACACACACACACACACACACACACACAGAACACAGGTACGACGATGGCCACCTGAGTCACTGTATGTGGCTGTAACTTGAGTCTTTAGCACGACGCATATAATTTGCATAATGGGACTAAGAGTGTTATATGAAAGACTCCCCAAACACTCGTATTAGTTGTTCTTGGTTGTGTTCTGTTCATTTCCTTTCTCATAACCTCTCTTTTTATTCTTCCCTCGCTTCTATCCTCTTTCTCTTTCTCTTTCTCTTTCCCTATGTCATTTTCTTAATCTTTATTACCAATCTTTCCCCTTTACCTTTCCTGCTTTATTGCGTTCTCTCTTCCTTCCCTTCTTTTCTTTCTTCCTTCCTTCTTCCTTCTCCTCTTTTATCCTTTCTTCTTTATTCCTCCTCTCTTCCATTCTTTCTTTCCTCTCCATCCACTCCTCCTCTCCTCCCAGTTTGTTCTTCCATCTTCCCTTCCCACCTCACTCACTTTATTTATTCCCTTCCCATCTATCTACTCCCCTCCACCCCTTTCCATCCATCCTCACACCCTGCATCACTTTCCCCTTCCTCTTTCCTATCCACATTACATTTCACCACCCCCTTCTTCTTCTTTCCCTCCATCTTTCCTCATCCGTCCACCCTCGCTCCTTTCCTCTTTCCTACCCTCTATCCATTCCTCTCACCATCCATTCATTTACTCCCTCTTTCCCCCAATCTACCCTTCAATACTCGACCATCAACTTTCCCTCCCTTACCTTCCTCCTTCTCTCTTTCATTCATTCCCTCCATCCATCTATCCACCCTCGCCACTTCCCTCCCATAACACATCCATCCCTCTCATCACTCATCCAATCCTCTATTCTTCCCTCTTTCCCTCCGGTACACCATCTAGCTCTTCAGAAATAAATTACTTTTCAACAAAAAAAGCCACGACCATTTTGCAAAACTTGCCGCCACCTTGTTTTTATAGCGTACACTTTCATTAAAAAACTTCCGTAAGTGTAGCATTTACGCTCCAACTGGCTTTATTATGATTAAAATCTGGAAAATACGGGACGGTGTATCTGCGTTGCATGTGTGTGTGTGTGTATGTATGTGTGTGTGTGTAGGGTAGTGAGGTGACGAGATGGCGACCAGAGGTGGTGGTAAGTAGGGAAAGGAAGACGTGTTGAGTAGGGCAGAGAGTAGAGAAAGTAGTTAAAACAGAGAGAAGGTGAGAGAAGGTGAGAGATTTGGTGATGGAATGGCGAAAGGAGAGATATAGAGAGAAAGGAAGGGGAAGGGGGGCAGTGGGGAAGAGGGGAAGGAGGAGGAGGACGAAGTAGAAAAGGAGACAGAGAAGGAGGGAGGGAGGGCGAGGAAGTGGAGAGAAAGGCAACAAGGGAAAGAGGATTAGACAAAGGGAGAAAGAAAGATCAAGGGAAGACAAATCTGGATTGAAATCGGAAAGAAGAAACTGAGAACAAAGAGAGAGAAAGATTAAGAAAGATGGAACAAGGGTAAGGAGAGAGAGAGAGAGAGAGACCCACTGACCGACAGACACACACACACGGCAGTATAGTTACAAGCACCTCTTAACGCAAAAATAAAACCTTGTCGCTGTTGTTGTTCTTGTTGACTAACCATCCTCA